AAGGGCTGAGTTTACTCTCTCAGTGTCCTATGTAAGCTGGCCTTGGGGTCAGGGTAGGAGGGTCTAGGATAAAGTCAACAGCATTTGAGAACTCAAGAACAAACAGTAGAAAGAATATTTGTGGGGGATGGTGAGTGTGATGGTGGGTTTGGTGATGACTGGGAGTAGTAAAGGAAATGACTTGTGCAAAGCCCTCAAGATGAGAACACAGTGTATTCAGAGAACCAAAAGCCATTCATAATGAGGTCTTCTCAATGTTGCAATTATGATTTATGGAAGATTTTGGACTATCCTTTAAACATAGCCTGAAGTTATTTGGTGGGACTCTCCGATAAGCCAAGGCTACTTTATGATTAGGAACCTTTTTTTTGTAAACATCAGAAATATAGACTGTAATAATAAACCATCATAGTTATACAGCTGACATGGGATTCAAAATGCTAGGGACTGGTCTAGCCCAGGTTCATTCTCTGGAAAGGGTGCCATAGCTGACTACTCTGAGCCCCAGCCTTGGGTTTCAGGTGCGGGGCTATAATTTCCAGGGTTTTTTTTTTTTTCCATTTCTAGGGTATTCTTCTACAGAATATTTCCTCGTCTTACAGGCCTTGCTTCTCTGTGCCTCAGTTTTCTTAGATGTAAAGAAGAGGGAGCTTTGTAGAATAAGCGGAGACAGGTTGAGGAAGGGCTGAGCAGAGGGAGGGACACCAGCGTTTATTTGGCCATTGCTAAATGTTGGACATCCACATAGCTTTTAATTTTCACAACTTTATGAGACAGTGTGGAAGAAAGGACATTTTCAATCACAAAGCAGAATACAAACTATAAAGTATGCAATAAAGACTTTGGAAGAATTTCCCCTTTGACTATGCATTTCATAGGTTCTCAGTAATCGCTCTTTTAAAGAATGTGGTAAGATTGAGAAATGCAAGCAGGTAGCTTTTGCCACTTTTTTGTGGTCTTTACCGTAATCCATTCTTTCAGGTTTTTCTAGTCTGTCAGTTCCCTTTTTATTACCCTTACTGATAGGATACACTTTAACTTACAGAAGCATAAATCAGCTTGAACACTCTGCTGGGAAAGTAAAAGGTCCAGAGCAAGTAATGAAAGGAGGAATCGTAATGATTCAGAGGATGAAGGTGAAGCATGTAATTAGACAGGTCAGGACTTAGGAAGGTGGAGTAAACTCACTTGAAAATGGTTTCCATGGGGACTGGGTGTGCTCAGCGTTGCCTCTGCAGAGAAGGGCACAGCAGTTTGTGCTATAACTCTTATAGACACCCAAACAGCCTGTGTCTGTGTGTGTCTCCTTAAAGTGGCTTGGCTTGGTTCACAAAACTTAAGAGGCCAGAGATATTCCACCCAGGATCATATATTTTGAGTGGCTTTGCCTGTTGTTTACTACAGTGGGGAACAGGTAGCTGCAGTGCCAGTGGAAGACACGTAACCCTTACAATGTGTTTGCTGCTTTTCATCATTTGGAAAATGGTCCATTTCTTTCGGATTCCATCCAAGCCTACACTTTGGGCTCAGGTTATCTTTAATGGGGGGTTTATAAGACAATTAGGGGAAAAAATGAAGGTCTGGAGTTTCAGCCACTACCTTAAGGTCAGAGATGGGAGAGAATCATGCGTAATTAGTCAACAACACCTGAGAACTCAAGAACAAACAGTAGAAAGAATATTGGGGGGTGAGTATGATGATGAGGTTAGGTGATAACTGGGAGTAGAGAAAAAAAAGCGTATGGATAGCACTGTGATCTATATTGTGGATTTTACTTTCAGTAACTTTTTTCTGTTCTTACAAAATTAGAGTCATTTAAAATTTTCTTTGTATTCTCTTTCACATTTCGCATTTTCCTAACATTGTTAAAATATACTTTGATTACTTGAATTTAAGGGCTGACTGTTAGTTCACTCTATGAATGTGTGGTATATTTTAAGTAGTCCCCACTGTTGACATTTGTTTCTAATTTTTTACTAACATAAATCATAGCACAGTAATGTCCCTGGACTTTAATCTTTGTGTAATAGTGACACATCGAGACCTCTAATAGCTTGTAGATAGCAGAGGAAAATAGAAGACCTTACTGAGTCTTCCGTCTTTGTTTCTTTCTTCTTCTGACCATGATTGGTTTTGTTACATCCTTTCTCTTTTTCAAGAAGTGGCAGAAACTTGACATTTATTTGGCCATAGTGTATGTACCATAACCTATTGGTTTCAGATAATTTGCTATTCAGCTTCTAGTGCTTCTTACATCAGAGCGTTAAGTATGATGGGTATTAGTTTGGAAAGGAATATATTTACTACAGTAGAAATGTGTCTTTCTTGTCTGAGTTTTAGAGATTTAATTAAGAGTATTAATTTTTCCACATCCCTTTCCTACATCTATTGAAATGATCATATGGCTTTTAGTACGTGACGTTCCTGTGATATAGAGTAGAAATAACTTTACTATGGTTGAACAATTTTTTCATTCTTCTGGCAAAAACCATACTCCATCAGTTGTCATATATTGATAGATTTGTTTTTTATCTATTGTTGTTAACTAATTTTTTTGCCACATGGATATTCAAAAGTGAAGAGTCAGTGTTTGAATATAATGAAAAAAAAACACAGATATTTGGGGCAGACACATCTGAATTTTAATTTGAGCTCCAATACTTATGATTCTGTGATTCCTTCTCATCTTTGTTATGCATACTTTTTGTAGACTTTTCACCATATAAGCATAGAAAATCTTATATCCTGCTTTTTCCCACATTTAACCTTATATACCACATACATTTTCCATGTTAGTGCATGATCTTCAAAGGCTGTGTAATATGCAATTCAGTAAAGGTAGCTCAAGGTAGCATAGTTTAGGGTTTCTCATTGCTGGACATTTTGCCAATGCCCATATTTTCACCAATAATAATAACAATGCTACTGTGAGATTTATCACACCTAGAACGGTGGTTGCCAGGGGGTAGAAAAGGGAGGGGTGGGGGAAATGGAGAGATGGTCAAAGGGTACAAACTTTCACTTATAAAATGAATAAATTCTGGGGATCTAATCTATAGCATGGTGACTATAGTTAATAATACTGCAATGTATACTTGAAATTTGCTAAGAGAGTGTATCTTAAGCGTCCTTATCTCTCTCTCTCTCTCACACACACACACACACACACACACACACAATATGTGTGGCGATGCATATGTTCATTAATTTGATTGTGGTAATCATTTCACAATGTACACATGTATCAAATCATCACATTTTATACCCTGAATGTATATAATTTTTGTCAATTATACCTTAAAAAAGCTGGGAAAAATAAAAGAGGCCAAAATGAAATTATACCAATTTAAACTCTCACTGGTAATGTATAAAGTATTCTATTTCATCCCACATTTGCCAGCATTATTTATTAACATTAAAGATAATTCAACACTAATCTGATAAGCAAAATGGTTTCGACTGTTGTTTGAATTTGCATATTGTGTTTGTAAGGTTGAATATTTTCTCACAAACGTGAATTTTCTGTATTTCTTTGGCAAGATGTCTGTTCTTGAGCTTTGTTAAGTTTTATCTCCCATTTATTTGGTGAAGACATTGTAATAAAAACATTATTCCTTGGTCTTTACATCTTAATTACGATTTTTTGAATGACGTCTAGACCTCTCAGTTCACTCACACCATCGAATCTGCTTTCCATTCCCATTATGATTTTACCATAACTTTTAGGTTTTTTTAATCCCTCAAATTCTTGAGAAAACAAACTCTAAAAACCCTTTTCATCCTTTTCGTATCAATGTTTAACTCCCCAATCCACCTTGAATTTATTTTTGTTTTGTGTGGAGAATACAAATGAAATGATTTTCAAATTTATACTATCTAATGCCGGTTACTCAATGTTTTTCTCTCTACTTTCTAATATTTAATAACAAAAATTTCACTGATTATTGATTTTTCTTGATCACCTATAAGTTTTTAAATAAAAAATTTGAATTTATAGGTATAGACTATCACATTGATGCTTTTATAATTCTTGATCCGCATGCACTATTTTAATTATTATTTTTCATTATTTTTCTCTAAAATATTTCAATTTTCCATTCTGTTTTTTTCTTAATGAACATTAGAATCAATAATTTGATCATGCTCCCCCCAAGATTCTTTTTCTTTTAATTTTATTTTTCTTAGAGATGGGATCTCACTATTTTACCCAGGCTAGATTCAAACTCCTGGGCTTGAGTGATCTTCCCGCTTCAGCTTCCAGAGTAGCTGGGATTATAGGCTCATGTCACTGTGCCCAGCTCTCCCTCAAAATTCAAAATGGAAAATATGATTGCAATTATATTAAGCCTGTAATTTTATCTGGAAAAAAATCAACATCTTTAAACTCTGCAGAATCTTTTCCATTTGCCTTTTTCCTTCTTTTTCCCTGTCCTCCCTTCTGTTCCCCTTCTCCTAAAGCAATGAGTTGAGCGTTTACAGTACACGTTTGGGCTCTCTGTTAATCCTCCAGTTCTTGCATTGCTTATTCCAGCGGTGAGACAGAAGGGGAGCACTTAATTTTGTGAACCACAGTCATTATGTTGCTTTCCCCTCATCCACCAAGTTGATGCCTACAGCTTCTTAAATGTCGGGAAATGAATTAGCGGGGCTACCCTCAGTACCAGGACAGAATTCTGTGTGGAGGGTACTAGGTCCGACAGTTACTCTCTGATTAAATGAAAAGAAACCTTTATTGTTACACATGTTGTAAAGAAGACAGAACTGGAATGAAGGGGTCTCCTGTACTGTAATTTCTTGGTGTGCTACATGTGATCCTGTTTTGTGCTAGTAGCATAGACAAAAGCTCATGAGTCCTCTTTATTATTTCCTGGCTGTCTCATAAAATGGCACTATCCAGCAAAATATTATTTAGTAGCAAAATATATTTTAATTGAAAAATCCTTTTAAGTAACCGAATAAAAATGTGTACCAGGAACTTTCCCAATAGACAGCAGAGTATGTACATTTTGTGAGGGTGGAGCAGCATCTATTTAATATAATTTTTGTATAGAAAATACAGGCATATTTAAAAATGGCAACATGTAAGAAAGTATGTCACAAGAAATAACAAAATATATCACAGAATTAAAAAGTAAACCCAAAATAACACGTTTACTAAACAAAACTAGACCCAGCACCATGTTGGACTTTCTTTGTGTAAGTTCCAGGATGTCCAGGTGCTACCAGAAAGAGATGATCCTGCTTTTGGGAGAGCCAGTTGGGTGTGTAGTGGTTAAAACCCAGTTCTTCTTTTCCTGGAAGAAAAAAACAAATAGATTCAAGAGAAAAGACTGAACTGAAGAGGGAACAGCTCTTTTGGGGCTGATTAAAATAGGATCGAAAGTCTCAGATACTGGGGCATTATCTGTGATGTTGTTTGCAGGGATGGGAGTCATTCCTTGAGAGAAGGAAGGGGCATGGAGAACAGGTGCTAATTTATGAAAAGATCTAAGCAGCAGCAGAACCTGAGTTTTAGTCTTGATTCTGTCACTAGTTTCCTGTCTTAACAATCCTCTCATATGTAAAATGAGGGGTTCGGACCTCATGAACCTAAAGGTGTCTTAAAGCACCAGCAATTTAAATGGTTTTTAGTTATAGCATTTGTTTAGGATCAATTTTCTGATGATGCACATAGAGGTCAGAGGAAACACAATTTCTTTCTTAAGGATCGAACTACCTGGAAACAAGGCCGGGTCAGACTTATTTATCAGTAGAGAGGTCACAGGTTGAGGGATTTGACAGATGCCACAAGCCATTTCTGTACCAGCCGATACTTTAGCTAGGAAATTGTTCCATCTGTCAACAAACATTTATTGAGCAACTATTTTTTTTGAGAGAGAGAGAGTCTTGCGGTGTCATCCAGGCTAGAGCGCAGAGGTGTCATCATAGCTCACTGCAACCTCAAGCTCCTGGGCATAAGTGATCCTCTTGCCTCAGCCTCCTGAGTAGCTGGGACTACAGGCACACCGCAACACCCAGCTAATTTTTCTATTTAGAGATGGAGTCTTGCTCTTGCTCAGTCTGGTCTCGAATTCCTGACCTCAAGCGATCCTCCTGCCTTGGCCTCCCTGTGTGCTAGGATTACAGGGGTGAGCCCCTGTGCCCGACTGAGCATCTTATTTTTATGCCTATATGAGGTACTAGGCATACAACCAAGACACTCAATCTCATGGGAGAGAAAGAAAAAATTATTTGGAAACATTTATTGTTTTGACTTCTTGGAAAAGCTTTCTCCCCCTCCCATTTTAGGGAATTATAATCCACTTTCCTTTCTTTTGGGAATTGCCAGCTTCTCCTCCCCTTTACCCAGGGTTTTGACAAAATTACCCTTCATGTTAGTACAACATAACCCAACCTAGGACCACAGCTCATTGATTCATGCTGGGCCCTTGAGTTAATCTGGACCAATCAGAGCCCTTCCTTGATTTTAAAACTGGGACATGTGCTATATCTCTGGATACCGTATGGTGGTAGGTAAATGTCAGGGCTGTAAGTTCTGTCCTTCCCTTCCATGTGAACTGAACAGCAGAGATCTCCACTCTGCATCCAGAGAAAGAATGGAGCAGACCCTGGAGAGAGGAGGTGAGATGAGCGGGGGAGTGGCTCAGGTATCCTTCAAATCCCTGGTTCTAGTCCTCCTGAAGCTCAGCCACTCCCTGTCTTTGGGCTCCACACTAGGTCCCTTTATTGTGATAATAAATTTTTTCTTTAATTAAGCTAGTTAGAGTTTTAACAAGAGTGTCCTAATGAATATGAGTTTCCTAGAAGAATCTATTACAGTATAAGGAAGAGGAGCTGCCTGGGTTGCTAGTTAGGCTTTCTTTGAATGTGGGATACACTTCTCAGCTTAGTTTCCTGTAATTTCTCTTGGATTCCTATATCAAACTTATGCATAAAAATCTAGATTCTGTTTTCTTTATTAATATACAGTATTTTCATATAAGCTAATAACTACCCTTCCTTTGATCAAGGAAGAGCTCCAACAGAAACATTTTGATATTGGGAAACTATGCAAACTCTGTTTCCTTTTCCTTATCTGTAAAAATGACGGTGTTGAAATATAAAGCCTAAAATTATAAGAAAGTTATAAATACTTTCTGTTCCTTTTGAGTCACTGTTTTCTTCTCTTTTTTTTATTCTCTCTCATTTTCTTAAATTATTTAAATTCTGCTCTCAGGTGAAACTCATCTTTATCTTGGCAGCTTCTAAATATATTTGTTCATTTCGAATTTACTTTTTAGAGTTCAGTTTATTTTTTCTCTCTTTGCAGAGATGGCATACACTTGAGATGATGTGAAGAAATTTTTTGGCATAAGATATTTTTTGTTAACTAAGTTTTACTTTAATAACTTGTTTGTTTTTGCAAGTTGACTTTGACATTCTGATCAAAATGACATTACAGGAAATGAAAAATAAGGTTTTTTCAGTTAACTGAATTCCCCACTTTAAAAAATAAATATGGAAATACCCATTTGTTTTTAATGCTTTCTATAGGATAGGGGTAAGTGTACAAAATACAAACCAAAGTGACACAATGCACTAATGTATATTGAAAGTCTTTAAACAGAGCTGATAACATTCCAACATTGCAATATTCATGAGGACAATGTTTGAATACTGAAAATATTTTATCTATAGTATGGCATAATATGTCTGATATATCCTGAGGTTTAAAAAGATATAAATGATATTTTAACTATTTTCTCTTTGACTTATTTTTGGGATAAATTTTTTAAACTATGATATTTGTCTGAGATGAGAAACCAATTAAGAGAACATATTTTTACATAAATTTTCTTTTAGTTAAATATTGTACATATAAACACTAAAAATATGAAACAAAAATATTTGACTTTAAAAATAAACGTTTCATATGAATTTTAATACTATTCTTTCTGGTAATCAAGAACTGAAACATCTATTAGGCCATTTTCAATAAAACCCATTAAGTTTATTATTTATTTCACATCTTTGTATGTGAAGGATATAATCTTCTATTCAAGAAGATGATTTAATTCTGTATTTATTTAATCCTTTTTTCTTTTGCCTTTTAATTGTAAAAAATAATATGGAATGCTTTATGAATTTGCGTGCCATCCTTGAGCAGGGTCGTATTAATCTTCCCCATATAGTTCCAGTTTCAGCATATGTGCCATGGAAGAGAGCACAAGACTGTTTATTTTTGAGATTTCATTGTTTTATTTGTCAATCCTGAACTAATATTTCGTAGCTTTGGCTTCAGTTCAAATTTAGAGAGTGTATCTCAAAATGGATATTTTTGGATATAAAATGCTTACACTCAAACTAGATAAATACCCCCTTGGCTCTTGAGACAACTTACTCTGACTTTTGGAGTCTTTATGTTGTAGGTAGACATTAGTTTTTGATTCTCTTACCTGGAACAGTCATGTCCCGTCCAAGTCGAAAGACAATGGCATCGGTTTGGTCTTACACATTTTCCACCATTTAAGCAGGGAGATTGGCAAACAGCTGGGATGAAAAATTCATGCATTTAATTAAATAATACTTAGCAATTCTGAAGATGACCATAAAAGCACACAGAATGAGATTTGCCTCTACTTCCTGCTGCAGCCACCACGTTCCTCATGCACTGTTTGCATTATTCATTTCTACCACTCCACTTGACCTCACATCCTTAAGTGGCACCACTTCCCCTTTTCCTTCCAGGCTAGTTAATTTTCACATTTAAGTCCTACCTACTTACTGAAACCTTTGCTCATCACTCCAAGTCCACTGATTTTTCTCTTCTTTAATCTTTTTTCATTTATGCAACCAGTCTGGAACTCTTACTGTTTCGAACTGTAAATTTTTCATATGCTCAACTAGACTGCAAATTTCTTGAGGGAGCTAGCACTAAACTCTATGACTGATTGAGTGACTAAGTCAGGCATCAACTCTTGTGATAATAAATTAGGCATATGGATTGTCTAAACTAACAGATGATTCAACAGCCCTTTTGTATTTAGCTAGGAGACACATTTCGTGGCTTTTACCAGCTTTAATTGGAATTACAGAACCTAGGCTAGGATTAAAAATTAGCCACAGATGAAACCCTGAGACGACACTTAAAGATTTACTACTATTTAGGCATCTTTCTCATAAATCGATAGTCTCATAACCAAACTCTCCATCTGCATGAATCTACTTGTTAAAACACCTGAGGATGCTCAAAATTGATGAAGACCTAACACCAGCAAGTTTATCCTATCAAAGAGAAAGGAGAATTCCCTTCAGGGAAAAAAATGTCTAATGGGGGAAAGCTGGAAAAAGGAACCATTTCAGTCTCATTATAGCACAGAAAGGTAGGTCCTTTCCTAGATGCAAAATTCATCTTTGCTGAGATATAAATAAATGTCATTCATTTATAATGAATCATTCATTCATAAAATATGGGGAAAATACCTGCTAAGCAGGTACCAGGCACTTGATAAGCCCAGGTTCTCATCAAGACAGAACAAGAGAGAGGACTAGAAGTAAAATACCAGTCTTTACCCTTGAGGAGCAATCTTGGTAAGTTTATAGTAAGAGCTGTCCAGCTTAATACACTTATTTACAATTTAATGAGAAAGGAAATTAAGAAATAAAGCAGGATTAAAACCAGCAAAAATAAAATCTAATAATCTAAAACCAACTCTCCATAGTTTCAGCTTGCTGATAAAAGAAAACATTACTCCTCTTCGGGAGCATGTTGAGTTTGTGGGCCTGATGGTGCTAACAAACTCGTCATTATTTTTACTCCCTCAACATGTTCCTCTTTCCCTATAATGTCGGGGCCCCCAGTGTTCCATTCTGGGCCACCTTCTTCTTCCATTCTGGGCCACGTGGCTTCTGCATGGTCTCATTTTTTCCCCTGTGAATGTTTTTCAACGATGATTTACAAATCTCCATCTTTAATCTACATGCATCTTGTGGGAACCTAAAGTACCATCCAACTGCCTATTAGACCATTGCCCTTGTATGTTTCTCAGACTCCTCGAACTTGGCATGCCCATACTCAAATCCTTATCTCTACCCTCAACCCTGCTTCTCCCGGCTTCTCTAGCTCAGTAAATGGCACCACCTTCCACTCGGGGCCATTTTGACTCTTCATGTACTTTTATCCTCACAATAAATCTGTAAGCAAGCAGCATTGATTCTACTTCCCTAACTTCTCTTGGTTCCACCTGTTTTTAGTTATCATTTCTGTAGACTTCATTACTTCTTGTCAATTGTGCTTCTATAAACTCCCAACTAATCTCTCCATTACAAATCTTACTTTTTGCCATTTTCCACACTGCTGCCAAAATCAGTTTCCTAAAAGAAAATCTGATCACATGATTTTCCTGCTCAAAACCTTTCAGTGGGCTTTCTGTTGCTCCCAAGATGTAATCCAGCATCTTGAACTTGGCACATGATGTGTTTCTTGATCGGAAGCTGTCCATTGTTACAGCTTCGTGTCCAGCCACACCCCGACATTTCCTCTGTGGCTTTAGTTAGTTTGCTGAACACACCTATGTATTTTATGCTTCATGCCTTTGGCTAGAATGATCTTTTTCTGGTGACTCTTACTCCTGCTCAGATTGTGTGCTTGTGAAGCCTTTTCTGAACCTTGACACTTGGTTAGTTTACTCATTCTTCACTGTTGTCATAACTCATTTTATAGAATTGGACTAGCCTCTACCTTCATATATCCTGGTTAGCTATTTAAAGGCCATCACTTCCCCTTTTCTAGACTGAAATTCTGGAGGGCGGGAGCTCCTGTTTTATATATATGCTGAGGTAGCTGCTGCAAGATTTATAAAGCGAAGACTATATGGCTTAATGACATTAAGGAGCTTATTCTAGTTAGAGAACTAAGGAGCTAAAAGAAATACAAATAAATCAGATCAATTTAGCTTTAAACTGCCTGATTCTAACTAATTGTGTAATGTCTATAGAAATGGAATGTTAGAAAATAAATTATGATGATCGAACTAGTTTAGAGATAGGAAGAAACTTAGGCAGGACTTGGGGTTGGGTGAGGTTAGAAAGAGGTAGAGGAAACAGGGAGACCCTGAGCAAATAAGAGATTGGGGTGGGGAAGAGACACTACTTGGGTGGTAATGAGGAAGCCATTGCTGCAAGGGTTGTTAGGATGGGAAGAGAGTTGTGCTTCAGGTGTGGTGAAGCCAGTCTATGAAGCAGCTTGGAAGTCAAAAGAATTCAGCCTGGATGTAGAGACAATAGAGAGCTATTTAGGTTCTTAGGGCAATGATGTGTCAAAAGTAATACATTGATGATGTTCAGCTTGGACATGTAGACGGGAAGGTCAACTGGTAGACTCTGGCCATGATCCAGAGTCTTTTACTGGCTGGTGAGAGTGGGGTGGAGCAGGATGTGCAAGATATTGACCAGGAAGGAACAAAGGGAATGACGCTATTGGTAATCTCGGATGAAGGGGAGGGAGGGTCGAGAATAATTTATTGACCACTTCCTGCAAAAGCAAGGTGCCTGGAAAAAGGCAGGGCTGGTTTGCAGGTGAGTAGGAGAAAGGTGGATAAATATCAAACGCTATATGGATTGCTTTAAGAGTCTCAAATAAAGCCTTCAAATGTAACCTCTGGGACATTTTTCCTTTTCTAAATTCATGGATGGTTCAGTTTTGGCTTTAGGTAGGGTGACTGCACATCTGAGTTTTACCTGTGACAGTACCTTTCACTCCTATTTCCCTCCTATTTCCCTCCTATTTCACTCCTATTTACTTAGTAATAGTGCTCCTTTCTCTCTCAAAAATGTCCTGGTTTGGAAGCTAAGTTTTATGGTCACCCAGCCTCAGGCTTATGACAAGCTCAGCTGTCAGCAAGCCTGTTCTACTGCACATTTTATTCCATTGAGGAGGTGGTATAAACTTTGTTTATAGGAGGGATGGTGGAGTGTTAGAACTAATACTAAATAAATATAGTAAGTCCTATTCTTTTAACAGTTGCTTAAAATTTTAGGACATTAAAAAGGTAAAAACTGGTCATTTTAAACTGAGTTATTTGACATCTACTGGAAAACCTATTATATTTGGGCATGATGCTAGGCACTGGGCATGTAAAGATGACAAAGAAACACCCTGGCCCTCCAGGGGGCGTATAATCTAGTGCGGGCAGGGACAGATAGATAATGAAGCCATTAAATAGATGTCCAAGGACAACAGGCTAAATGCCATATTTGAAGTAGGCAAGTGTTGCTAAGGGGACATGTTTGTTCCTAATCTATCGACCACAGTTTGTTATCGCTGTCCATGACAAGAAATCATCTCCTTTATGTATTATTTATAATCTTGTTTTTTTCTAAATAGTAACCATGAATTTAGTACTTTAGCTTCCTAGAGATTAAAATAAATATTCTGAACCTCTGCATAATGTCTTCTCTACATTCTGCAAAATAGAGCAGATGACATGAAGAAGGCAGACAATTGAGTCGACTTTGATGCTATTCTTATCTCGGCACATGACCCTGAAAGGTATTTTTCAGGCAGTGATACAGTTCAGCGAGACACCATGCAAGGGACCATTTTGAGGAATTTTTGAGAAACATCGGTACCCTTTTGTTTTTCTCCCATTTCTGAGTCTGAGTCACACTTGACAATGTCCTCTGGGGCTTCGTGGGACCAAGCCATCAAGGAAACAAAGCATAAGAGGAAGCCTACCTGTGTGACAGCGGGACCCTGTCCAGCCAGGTGGGCAGTCACACTGATAAGGGGCCACGCAGCGGCCACCGTTCAGACAGGGAAGAATGCATATGGCTAAAAAGGGAATTGAAAAGGATTTGATCAAAACACACACGTTCAGACAGGTTCAAGTGCTCAGAAAACATTTTCCAAGAGTGAAACCTTGTATGCCCCACTAGATCATCTTCCCGTATGTGTTCTGCTCATTAATGAGTATCACTGGGAAAACACAGTCAGGAAAGGAAGTCTGGACCCTTAGCCAGACGTAATGACTCTAATGCCAAATACACTTTTGGTGAGGACACACTGTAATCAATGTCTGCTAAGTGCTTTGCTTTAACTCTTCACAAAATAAGCAGAAGGATCTCCATTTACTATCGGTTCAAATTTCCATTACACATTACATAAAAGGCTCTGGCTGCCTCGAGGTTTTCTTCTTGTCATGAACTAAATGTGAGAATGGGAATCAGATGGGCTATACTGTAGGCTAGTGTTTGCGACATTTTAGTAGTAATGGGACAATTCACCCTTTATTTCCTAGGAGCTGAGGCCTGATGGGGACTGAATCAGGCCTCCCCTATGCCCTCCACAGCAATCATTCCTCCTTCTAGAAATCACTGAACTCTTTAAGGAGGCATAACCTATTTAAAAGGCATGAGATTTCCTGTTGCCTTGCTCCTCAAAATCAGGTTCTCTAACCAATGGTCCTGGCATTGGCATTGATTAGGAATGTAGAATCTCAGGTCCCACCCAGATCTACCGATCTCCCAGGTGGTTTGTAATGCACACGTTAAAGTTTGGGAATCTCTGGTTTAACACAGGAGGGCAGGGATATGCTCAGCGAGCTAGGCTAGCAAGGCCAGGTAAACCAGGCCTGTCACTGGGGTACCCCAGAGTAAATGCTCTCTGAGCCTTCGGACTGTTGACAGTACAGCAGGTTAAGTCTGGGAGCCCTAAATGAAAAGGGATGACTGGGAAGAAGTGGAAGGAAAAATGTGATTTCTCTTCTTCTTTAATCACTGTGATAATACTTGCTTTGCCGAGTTGTCAGCAGCCTAAATTTATTTCCATCATATGTTTTCCTTTATAGATTAATTGAAAAAGTCACACTAGAGTCTCTTATGAAATGCCTGGCCTTTAGAAAAAACTGGTATAGGCCAATAGTCATCACATTAATGACTCTTAAAGGTTTATATATATCACTCCCAATGAAACATGAAAACATTTTATCCTTATATAATTTTTAAGATATTGAAACAAACTGCAGTTTAGATATTTAAAAAACATTGAAAACCACTTATTTATACTCCCCTGGAAGTTCAGATTCAAACATATTTCTATAAGAATCAAAATTCTACATTAATTTATCAAGCATTGTATAGATAGATATAGGAGTGCCAACCTTCCTTATCTTCTGAATTAGTAGAAACTATTTTAATGACAAAGAGTGAATGGTGGGCTGCAAGTATTACCTGCAAAGTACAATGTTTTGCAATGCCATGCATTTGTACCAACTGCAGCAATGGCAGGCATAGTACATAGTAGACCTGAGATAAGGGAAGAGGAGGGCTGGGAGACTTTAGAACAAGCTCCTTGCCAAGAAGACTCTTGTAAATTTGTGCCAGGAGGCATATGAAGATGACTTTAGATGGATTTTGATAACTATATTTTCAATGTCACTAATATTCTAGATCTTCTGCAACTTATTGACACATTCAGATCAGCCCTGTATGCTCTGTCTGGTCTGCTATAAGGATTTAAGCAAGTTAATTCCTCCCAACAGTAAAGCCAGTTCTTAGTAATTCCCCTAAGTTGGAAGCTTCCAGGCAAACTGTTCAGGATTCAAAGTAAGATTCGAGGATAGACTCACGTTCTTCACAGAGGCGCCCCATCCAGCCATCTGGACAGGAGCAAGCGTTTGGGCGTTGGCAGATGCCCCCGTTCTGACATGGGAATCGACAGACCGCTGGAAAAGAAGCAGGATAGGTCGTAAATCTAGGGAATTATGGAAGGGTGGTAGCTAGAAAATAGGATTGCTCATTTACATTTCATAATACTTCCTTGTCTCAATCTTCAAGGAAGAGAAACAAAATTGGATCTCAAGAGGAAATTTCAATATATGGAGAAGGGTATGCGGCATTTTATTGGCTGCTATCATTGCAGGTAACTATATTGATGTATAATAGACAATCAAAGATTGTATATATTTAAGGTTTACAACTTAATGTTTTGATATATGTATAAACTATGAAATAATCACCACAATCAAGATAATTGCCATATTCATCACCTCACATAGTTACCATTTTCTTTCTCTCTCTCTCTTTTTTTTTTGTGGTGAGAACACTTAGATCCATCCTTTCAGCAAATTTCAAGTATATAATACAGTAATGTTAACTATAGTCACATTGCTGCACATTAGAACTCCAGAACTTGTTCATCCTGTATAACTGAAACTTTGTACCCCTGACTAACATCTCCCAATCCCACCTCCAGCCCCTGGGAATCACCATTTTACTCTTTGCTTCTACGAGTTTGACTGTTTTAGATTCCACGTAACAGTGGGGTCAAGCAGCATTTGTCTTTCTTTGCCTGGCTTATTTCACATGGCATAATGTCCTCCAGGTTCATCCATGTCATTGCAAATGGGAGGATTTTTTCTTTTTTAAGGCTGAATAATATTCCGTTATAATATATATGCACACACACACAGACAGCATTTTATCCATTCATCTATTGACAGACATTTAGGTGTTTCCATATCAAACACTCAACACTCATTTTACTTTTGACTTTAAGTGAAACCCTGGCTATTCCTTGAGGATCCCTACCTCAGAGCCCTCTCAAGAGAAGGCTGTACATTCTCTTACTTACATGCCATGTCTTGGTGCTATCATTATTCATGTCATCGCCAGACAATTAATCCCTTTCTCCTGCTTCTTTTGAGGCTCATGCCATTTGTCCACTGACTTCCTTAATTCTCCCTGCCCCCACAGGTCATTAAAGACTTTAGTCTTATCAATCCAAATCCAAATCTGAACACTGTCCATGTGGACAATTTATCCAACACTTGATTATTCTTTTAGTTCCTTGGTTATGTCTTATGTACTAGCATAGTTCTTGACTTTCAGCAAGTATTTGTAGAATGAGTGAGATAATTATGATAATAATATTATGATAATATTTGATAGTGTTATGATAATAATTATTATATTTTATTAGAAAAGAGTTCTATACGCACACTTGCAAAACTCAAACCATAGAGTTAAGAAAAATGACACAGCTGTTAAGAGAAAATTTAAAGCCAAGGAAAAAAAAGTAGCATACGTATTAATTGTTGACCATACCAGACTTCCATACATATTTCTCTGCAGCTTCACTACGAAATAACAGTTCAAATATTTCCTTACCTCTGCAAATAGGAGGTGAAGTCCACGTTCCATTGCCTAAGCAAACACTCCTTAGGGAACCCTCCAACATGTATCCACTATAACATGAGTAGGTGATCATGTCCCCATATTGATAATGTATGCCTCGAGCAATTGCATTTTCTACATGAACTGGTGGACCACATGAAATTTCTATAGGAAAACAAAACAACGATGAAGCCTGTGCTACTAACCCAGACTCACAGTCTCATCTCGAACACTGACTTAAAGAGCAAAGATAAAATACATACAGGACACATTTTCACCTATATAATATCTAGAATACTAAAAGAATAATCTGCTGCTGTTTAGAAAAATGAGATGTACAAGATCAAAGATTTTTTTGTCTTCTGATTCAAATGATGAAGCTGAGCTATTTTAAACTCAAGGAAAGATGTCTGTAGGAAACCAAGAATGAGCTCGTGTATCTTGCCAAATAGGTGGCTGCAAGGGAACTTCAATACTGGATGCTCATTAAGTTAGCAGAGAAAAAGCATGATTGTAGTTTACCGTTTCAGAGTAAAGCTCATTAACTGCAGTACTGCATATTGCATTGAGACTGGCTTATTGGTGTCTAGAATGGTGCTTGGTATGCAATGGGATCTTGATACGTATTTGAAAAATGTCAGTGAATGAATATTGTTGCTAGCCTATAGATACTCAATTTATAAAACTTGATCAGGTTTATAAAATTCAAGTGTTCACATTAGTTTCCCTCTTTTTAATAATGTCAAGCAGCAACTTTCTACTTTCGCAATCTGTTTGAGATTGAATGACAATCCTCTCTTTTAAAAGGGCTGTATATTTAAACAAAATTTTTTATAACTAATTTTGCTTTGAGAATTTTCCAAGAAACCTTAAAATAACTAAAATTATTCTCAGATGGATCACAAGGCAGGGCTGGGATTGGAATCAGGATTCTAATCAGTATCCAGTATCTATAAGTCCAACCTTTGGATGAAGAGTCTTTATGAACTGGCTTCTAGAAGGTCACTTTGCCGTCATAATCCTATTGAAAACTTGTTAGAGGCGATGGTTAATTTGTATCGTCTTTCTAAATTTTCTTTTCCTTCTAAGGTGGACAAAATGTCTACTATGTATCAGAAACTAGAGAGAAATAAATGAAGAAAATGCTGTCCCTTTGATCAGAGAAGTAGGGGAAGACAGATAAAAAAATACTGCAAGACAACCTAAAATGAGCCGTGGTAGAGGCAAGGATACCATACTGTAGAAACATTGATGTGAACTAATTGTGCTTAGGATTGTCAGGATATGAACTGCAGTGAAAGTGGCATTTGGATTAGGCTATAAAGCTTGAGTGGATCAGAGGGAAAGAGCTTTCAGGTTGTGGCAACAGCATGTGGAAAGATCATGGTGAGCTGATGGCTGGTTTACAGCAGTGGTTATCAAAGCATGGATTTCAGATCACTTATGTGAGGATCACTTGAAATTCTTATTAAACATGCACATCTCTGAGGTTTTTGGCTCATGAATCTGCATCTTACATACTCTCCCTGGGTGATTCTCAAGTACACTAAATTTTAGTCACTGATTTATAGGAATAAATATCAAGACTAGCTGAAAAGAATGAGGAAGGTTGCTGCTCATGTGAGAGAAGGAGATTTTGTTCTAAGCCCAAGACTTCCTGTCTAACAGAAAATGCAAAAGAAGATTGCAGATAACAATGTGGAACTGTCTCCTCTCCAAGGCAAACCCTCATCCTCTCAAGAATATTGAGGAATAATTAAGCATGCGAAGAAAGCACATTTGTAATAAGTGCACGTCTCTCCTTGCTCTTTCTCCCAGTGGGTTGAGTGGTAAGTCTCAGGGAGCCAAGGTAAAGGTGAGGACAGATGGATAGACTAAAGCCACTTGACCTGCTTTCTTTCAGGCTAGTGGCTTAAACTATTAATAAATTAGAGGGTCAAAGATAAACTTCCAGCTTACATATACTTCTTCCCGTTTCACTAGGGGTAGACTTCATAGGCATTTGGGACCCAAATCCCAGCTAAAAGCATAGCACACTTACCTGGAGTAAA